TCCTGCCTCATCCTCCTGAGTAGCTGGGACTACAGGTGTGTGCCACCATGCCCGGCTAATTTTTTATATATTTTTTTAGTAGAGATGGGGTTTCACCATGTTGGTCAGGCTGGTCTTGAACTCCTGACCTCGTGATCCACCCGCCTCAGCCTCTCAAGTGCTGGGATTACAGGCATGAGCCACCGTGCCAGGCCCAAAGCTATTACATTTTAATTGAAGGTATCTTCAAGTTATTCAAGTAAATTTATTCATATTAGCTATCAAGTGATATATTCTTATATTTTAGTAACTTGCAATTACTGGAATTACATATAAAAACAATCATATAGTAACTGACATTATTAAAGCTACAGATACAAAAACTTTGATAATGCATGCTGGGCAGGCTATGTTATCAACTCTTGTTGGTAAAGAGTTGGTGGCACTCATCGAATTACTCTAGTCTAGCACTTAGAAAACATTCAATTAAGTACAGTCCATTTCATAGTAAAACTTCTGTTCAAAGAATTATTCAAATATATGTATGTTAGAGTTAGTGAGTGCATTTTTAAGTATAATTAAAATGCTTAAATAAGCCTCTGCCTTTAAAAAAACATTAAAAAATGTATTTATCCTGTTTCTATTTTTTAAAGACTTTTTTTTACAATCACCAAAGCAACACAAAGTATCCCACAGTTCACATAAAGTAAAGAAAAATTTAGTGTTATTTCTTTTTTTAAAAAGTTTCTATCTGATACAAAATCATAAAATTTGCTCACTCCTTCAAACAGAGTAATCTTTGTTTTGCATTATCTGATCTTAAAATGTTTCTTTTTTTTTTTCCTGATCTTAAAATGTTTCTAATCCAGCACATAATAGGGTAGACCCCTTATATCTTTAAAATTCTTAAAGTTGAAGCAAAGTAATATAACACTACTCATAGGATTTGGGCACTGAAGCAATGTTTCTCCTTGAGATATTTTGCCAAAGTATTTAGCAAATGCTGTATGTTCACATTCAGAGCCTCTATTCTCTGCTAGCTCTGATAATAAAAGTTGTAAAACCACACTTTTAATTATCCTACTGACTCTAATACAATTTATATTTTCTTTGAGATATAAGGTACATATAATAAGATGCTCAGATAATAAATGTACTGTTTGATCAGTTTTGACAAATGCATATACCTGTATATCCCATGTCCCTATTATTTCATCACCCAAGAAAGCTCCCTCATCCCTGTTCTAGACCATCCCCAGCCCATCACTCTACTGATACCTTTTACCACTGATTAGCTTTGCCATGTTATGGATGCTAAAATGGTATTGGAGAAAGGGGATAATACTTTTTTCCCCAATAATTCTGAAATGTAACTCATAACACCATTGTCCCCTGCCAAAGAAACCCCAGAAGGTGTTCTGCTGCAATAAGCAGCAGCTCAGCTGTCACCTGGCAGCAGAGAAAGGCTTACCAGTGCCCAGTATGGTTCTAGCTCTGAGCCATGGGAGAACATAGCCAAATTCTCTCCTTTCCTGGTCTCACTGAATCTAATTAATTATGTAGGTGCTTCTTTCTTATGCTATGTGACAAAACAAAACTCACCCTGCTCCCACATAAAGGTGAGAAGAGGGGAAGGATGGCTGCCATTGGAATAAGAAAACTACTTTCCCATGCCATGGAATCCTGCCTAAAAACCTTCTCTACCCTACCTAGAAAACCCTGCTCATGCCATGATTTTTTTTTTTTTTTAAAAAAAAAGGACACCTGTTTCATGGAATGCAACTCTAAATTTTAGCTCCCTGTCATTTCCAGAAACAGGTCAGTCCCAATCTCATACCATAAAGAAAGCTAGAGAATAGAAGAGATATAATCAAAATGCAGACATTAGCTGTTTATTACACTTAGGTTTTTCATACATATGTATGAATATGGCAAACACAATGAAATAAGGAAAAAATGTATTCCAGCTGAGACCTCATTACCTATAGGAAGAGGGTTGAGTTGTAGAGGAAGAGTGTTACTACGTAACATATACCAGGCAAAGCTCTTTCTAAAGATCATCTTTTTCTACATAATAACCCTATTAAGTAGTCACTATTTTTATGCCCATTTTACAGTTGAGAAACTAAAGCTCAGAAAAATCATGTGACTGAATCAGATATGAACTCAGGAGGTTTAATCCTGCAGCCTATGCTACCATTTTGCTGCTCTATCACATGTTATGTTATCATCACCAGGGAATGTGCTCCCTGAGGAATACAGTATTATGACATGCCCTGTGTTGAAGTGGAAAGGTGAAGTGACAGTACTTCATATGAGGAAATGCCACTGCCAATCAACCCTCAAAGTCACTGCTGTTTCACCATTTCAGGACTCAAATTCATCCTGTCACTTTCCACAGAGGCCATCCACAAAAGACCAGATGAGAGCCCAATGCATCCAGTGATCTACCAAGTAGTGCTGGTAGAGAGCTGCAGCCTACAAAGAGGGTGTTGGGAGCCTCCAGAAAAGAGCTCCAAGCTCCAAAGGCCTCCATCCAGGGGAAAGGGAGCCAATCCCACAGCTCTGCTGCTTCGCATAACCTCTCTTCATGTACCAGCCCTAAGCTACCACCAATACCTAACACCAGCCCTAAATGAACAGAGAAGGATTTTCTGTCTTGGAACCACTGTTGTACTACTTCATGTCTACCCTCTAATATCCCAACTTAGGTAAAAGTACCTAATGAAGCTAATGCCAACTACTTAAAAGCAGCACTGGATGATGATGTATTTGCGACTCACAAAATCCTGGTGCCCAGAGGTGTCTGCAGATGGGACAAAGCCCCACAAGCCCCACAGCCACAGTGGCCCCTCTCTCAGTGGCAAAGCCTGTGCCCTCTGTATCCAACAGTTCTTCGGCCCAGCGCCAGTGCCTCCCTACACCCACAGGCATCCCCCATGCTGCACATCTTGAAGGTATGACTTTTTCATGGTAAAAACATGTGAGTAAAGCAGTGATGAGGGCATGCTCACAAAAGCAAACACATCTCATGCATGACTGCTGCATAGACAGTTTGTGAGGGAGCAGGGAACCACCTCAAGCTGAAGAATGAATCCTGGCACTTGGAAAAGCTCTACTTTGAACAAATCCCCCCCTTCCTCCCCCAGCCACACAAAAAGGTGGCCACATTAAGAGCCTAAAATGAAGAAAAGGTAAAGATTTAGTCACAAGCAAAAAGCTTCTGAGATGGAAAACAGCAGGGATTATGGGGAAAAAAGTCAAATAAAAAATACATTAGAAGGAAGAGCTATTTTTTAATGTTTCTGCAAGTAGCTAAGCACTTAATCCTCCTGAGACTGAGGGGGAACTTTTATTTATCTAGTCAAAATCTTTTTTCATTTTAGCTGCTTCACATAAAAATGTTCAGGCTCTGCAATAATTCTGACCCAATAACCACCCACAGACACAAAGAATGTGGGATCCAGCATCTACCGAGTTTTATAGAACCTAATCTTCAGAAAAAATTTGCAGAAGCAATTATTAAATCATCAGGCAATTTTATCTACAATGAAATCTCAATTGCATTATGTCTAAATGTGTTTAGACGCAAAGCAACATAGTGCTACCATAATCATTGATTCTAACCAACCTATTGCTAATAATTGCTATGAATTTTTTAGAAAAGAAATCACATATACATAAATTACATTGCTCATAAAAAAGATTTTAATATAGAAGTGCTTCCTCTTATTTTGTAGAATGTGCTAATTTTATTTTCAGTATAATTATAAGTGAGCTACAGCAACATGAAATCTCTAGTAAATATATCTGAAATAAAATTAATTTCTAATTAGGATTTAGATAAATAATTGATATGCTACAAACACAAATTTGAATTTCTCTACCTATATCCTAAAAATTCTACTTGAAATTAAAGATACATTACCTATGCTAAATTCATCTTAAATACAAATCCTACACACACAAAATCAATTTGTGTAAGATGAATATTAATGTACCTTGTCAAAGGGAATACCGTATTTCTTCAATACTGATGGAGAAATCAATGTCATCTTGTGGCGAAGAAACGCATCACACCCTTGGGAGCTGCTTGGGAAAAAACCTAAAAAGAAACAATAAATGTTAAGTGTTTATTGTAAGTGGCATTGTGTCAATTAAAAGAAATTTTCAGATAGGTTTTTTAATGTATAGTCTGGTGTTTTTACTGTTTGACTTATGCAAGCATAGACTTGTTCCACCAAAAAGCCCTGTACTAAACATCAGAGTCAGAGTTAGAATTCTTAAAAATTGAAGGATACATCACCCAGGGTTGATCTTTTTTACAAACAGATTTACTGTAAGTTGTTTTTGTAACTTGTAAAATTACTAAACTTTAGGAATAAATCTCAATTCAAAACAAATGTGGATTCAACCTATTATCTGTTAAATGGAGAAAATACTTGGGAAGTTAGGAAAGATAAATATGTGGGATACTGGATCTGAAGCCAAAAATACAGGAAAAAAACGAAAGACAGGTATTCGTTTTAACAGAAGAATATTTTCGACTCCTAGATTTCATCATTCCTGAAGCACTCATCCCAATCCTTCGCATACAGCAGATACAGTAGTTCCCCACCTTCCTT